GCCCTTGTTACTAGCAGCGATGCCCTTGTTACTAGTAGCTTCTTGTTCCTAATAGCAATGGCCTCCAACCTAGTAGCTTCTTGTTCCTAGTAGCAATGCCCCAACCCAGTCAAATTTCTCCTCAATCATGTCCCGACTCTTTTATATAACCTGTCCTGAGATTTGTCAGGGGTGCCCAACCTGGTGTTGGGTTCCCTGGGTTACCAAGCAGGTAGTGACATTTCTTGTCACAAGTTTGAGCTTCATCACCTAGACCTAGGCACCGTACACTCTACAAATCAAACCACAGAGCCTTTGTTAATCACAACAAAGACGACCAGTTTAAGAATACGAAGCAGAGTTTCTTCTATACGCTATTTTCTGTTTGTTTCACGCTTGATTGGGGCCAACTCATAAACATCACTCTTCCACAGGTCTTTTTGCTCGGACTGTGAAACATGCCAAACCAGGGCCGTCCAATAGTATAACTTTTGGGACAGTTGTAGACGACCACTAAACAGCATTCTTGTCTGCGTATTGCCTCTTACATGTTTCTCCCATAAAAGTATGTCTTTCTCAAAGTCATCGTGAACTCATGAACCACAGGCCTGCGCAATTTGCCGCCACAAACTTGAATCTACAGCAACAACACAACCTAAACCCCAAATCTTCGCACATCAGGTTTAGGCAAGGCCACTCAAGGAAAAACAAGCCGAACAAACACCACCCATCACGGGAAACATGCAAAACAATGGTTTGCACCCTTGTCCTTGGAACCTCATGTCCCCCAGCCTAGCTAGTCCAACTATCAGAAGTACAGGCATTTCTTGGTAACGAGTTAGATAGGCTCATGCATTCCGCAAGCCTAATTTAGGGTAGTAAAGAAATGATTCTACCAAGTGATACCTTAGCAACGGGTGGCAGCACTCGAAACTTCTACCGTAGCAAATTCGTTTGGAGTTGTGTCTGCCAAGACTTGACCGACCAAATTGCCAGGGAACTCTACGGTCGCCGGCTTGATCCGGGCCTTCACCCGGACAGTGGCTCCCTGGTGGGCAAAGAGGCTCAAGTGCCGTGATGTGCTACGAATGGGAGAGAAAACCATGTTTTCCCTTTTCAGTCACTTTTTTGGTACAGCAAAAACAGCAATCAGCTTTCATAAGTCCGAGAGTTGTGTTTAACAATAGAATTCCATGATGGCAGAAAACTCTTTGTAGGATGAATTGATTTAAGGTCCGTCAGAGTCTGTAGAGGTCCATATGATGCATAGTCCTATCATCCCAACTGGCACGATCACCGATTCTGGCCACTACGCTCTTTGCACCTTGCGTGGAAGCAGCACAGTGCGATTCCTGGTTGCCTGCGCTGAGACCAACGGACACGGTAGAATGACATAATGACACTTCAATACAAGTTGAAGACCAGAAATATCAACAAAACCCAAACACATACGCAAACCACGTCGTTGCTAGCCGTTACCAACTTTTATGGCCAGTCATTTCCGTCAAGAATCAATCTCCTACTCCCACACGTGCCACCCTGTCCCACCACC